GTCAACTTTCAGTTTAATTAAAGGATAGTTAACCTAGTTTAACCTATTTCACTGATTCAATATGGTTCTTCCTTGTCTATTTTTAATTAACATATGAAATTTATAAATAATTTTCAACACAGCTTGGAGATTAGAGTTGGTGTTTGGGCTTGGACTGGATCCCTAGTAAGAGAAGGTTAGCAGAAAATAATATGATATTGGAACAGAGTTCTCTGATAAGGAACCAAGGTCACAGATAACCTCATCCAGTTTGGATTAATTGTCAGGCATCTATCAGATGATGGTAGGTAAACTTTCAATTTGTTTACATAGAACCATGCTCACTTGCTATTTCTAGTGGCTCCCAGCTGCCAGCTGGGATTGGGCTTTGCAGGCAAAAGCATAGCAGGGAAAGCAGAGAATTTGAGTCTAAGCCCAATGCTGCACCAAAAGGTGTTAGCTAGAACCAATAAACTAGTGACAAATTTCCAAAATATATTTCATGTATCTTACTGACACCCATTTACCTTATTTAGCAGTGCCAGTGAGAGAATGAATTTGAGCCCACATGTACTGTTATGAACATTTGTACAATAAATAGGCAGGGATCAAAAGCAGCCACTGAAATATTCAGAATTACTTATGATGTACCAAAAGAGATAATTCTCTATAGATAGCAATTCATGGTAGTAGTGGAGTAGCAACTGCACAGCATATAGAAAAGTATATCTCTGTTTTTTTTCTGCATCTATTCAGTCTATCAATTAAGCAGATAGTATTATAGTAGTCACTCCAAACATTTCTCATTATAGACTAGCAGTTATTTCATACATTATAAAATGCAAAATACAAAGATAAAAAGACTCCTATTCCCAAAGTACTACTTCCAGACTAAAATAATAAGCACATATATCTGTCAGATGTCAGTTATAATAATGCAAGTAGCCATGGGAACAGACATAGAATTCTTTGTCTGTTTTTATGTGATACTTTCATAAATACACTTAACATGAATGACCATTGAATTTTCTTACTGCTTTTGTAGTTCATTAGGCAATCGATTTGGGAAAGGTGGTGTCCTCTTTGAAGAATTGACGTTGGCTATTGTTCAGGCCCTGACTTTTTATTTTTCTTCTTCAGAAATATTTTCAGGAAGAGCCCTACTTGTACATATCCAAGGAACATTATATAGATATATGGTGGCTTGCTTTCCATAATGCAAGGTATGGTATTGAAGCCATTCCTGTAGAAATGCTGCAGCAATTGCAGAAGAGTTTTCCTTTTCTATAAAATGATTGTGAAACAATGGAGCACATAGCAGTAGAAAAAGATCACCAGATCCATAGACATCAAAACACTAGATGTGTAATTCTTAAAGCAACAGATTCAGGTAATGTTGAATTCCTTATAGCATTGTTTTGGCTTTATAATAGTACTTATACCTCTTTACCTGACTACACTCTTTAAAGATATACAGAGTCAGAAAGAATTAACGTTATTATTCATGGAAGACCCTAATCTGAATAAAGCTAAACCCTAAATGAAAAATTATTGCATTGTGCTGTCCCTGGCCTTAAATCAAAATTTGCATTGACACCCCCATCCCCAAATTGATTGCCTAATGAACCACTGCTACAGTATATAAAATATTCTTCCTTCTCCAGAAATAATACTGTATCTAGAAGTATATATACAGTGCATATTTGATTCCTCCCTCCCTTATATGAAAGTTCTTTGAGGGAATTTGCTAAGACGTATATGATTTATGAAAAGAGAGGACAGCATTTTTCAAATTCTTAACATACTATTTGGAAGATTAATATTTTTGGGAATTATTTTAAATTTCATTAATTTTTGAACTCTTACTTGAAAACTGAATATGACATTGCATTAAATTGGTTATTTTTAATGCCTTATAATTGCCACTGATACTTTATTTTTCCCCCTTCTTAAACTACAGCAAGTGCTGAATAGTATTTAAGGAAAACACAATACAGGAACCACAGGTAGCAAGAAATTAAAGGCAGACGAGAACATGGAATCTGATTTAGATAAGTAAGAGGATGGCAGCTAGGATGCAAGCCAGATACTAAAGAAGAGAAGCACCATCTTACATTCTTGCCATGGAAATGCTGCAGAAGATGAATGGAGCAATCCATCCCCACTATCAAAGTCTAGCAGATTGGTCAAATGTGTTGTAAGCTAAGGTTTGTATGTTGATTTCTAAACAAGAAAATATGGGTTCACCGGTATATAAAAATATTGCATGCAGCTTGTTTATATGGAAAATAGTTGGAAATTTGACTAAACACAGAAAGTTATAACTACAGTATTAAGAAGCTTTTAAAAAATTGTACTTCTATATTGGAACTCAAATAAAAAGAACATTAAAATACTTTGTAAAAAATACATTATTTGTTGTTAACCTCATACCACAGAATCTGCTAAATGCTCTGCAAGCTACTATAATCACTTTACCATGGTTGTACACATGTACTAAATTAATTTATATGTTCATACAAATTAATATAATTATTATGCTAAACATAAATGTGTATTTCCTGTAGAAGTAAATATATCCTCTAATTGGTAACTTCAATTCTCTGTTAATGATCCAGTTTAGCAAATCTTCTGCAGACTTATTTTCTCTTCTGGTTTTAAAGAGTCTTCAGACAAACAAACAAAAAAACTGTTTTTCATATTAACTTTGTTACTTTATCAGTTAATAAACAGAGACATTTCAGAAATTTTGCCTTGCCTGCAATTTTTGAAACCAAATTTACCATATTTGGAAAACTAAAAAAATGATGCATGAAATTCTATGCTGCATAAATGGATAGATAACAGATAACAGATAGATATGTTGTAGCAAATAGAGGACAGTTCCCAAGGGTTCATCAGTATCATTAATCAATAGGAAGAAAAACTTTTATATTATGTATGCAGCTCCAAGAAGCCAAATAAATATGGAATCTGAGGAAATATTTGACTATTACCATTTTGGTTTAGAGTCAGACTATAGTACATGTTACTGGATCAAGCTCTTCTAAGTTATTCTGTTTTCACATCAGGTACCAAATATCTTTGAAAATTCTTAAGCAAATGGGGAACATGTTTATAGTCTCAAATAATTTGTCCCTGGAATATGATATCCAACATTCAAATCCTTTGAACATGGAGGTACTCATAACTAATTATCATAAACTTACCTTCCCAAGTCTGGCACCTTATACAGTGTACATATGTTATGACAGCAACATGCAAATTCCCAGTTATGGGGTACTACTACATCTGAAAGACTCTAGGTTTGAAAAACTATCATAAAGCAACCTGTGTTTGAATATATCATAAGTTATCAAACACTACAACTTATAGTTCTTTGTCTTTTTATTGTTATTTTGAGTTAGATATTAAACAGTTAAAGTACCTCTCTATACTACTTTATTTGTTTGCTATCCTTACCACATAATACTGAGAAAAGTAATCTCCAGGGTAAATCAAATGACACTGAATCATTAAGAATTTTTCATTAAAATTCAATTCACATACACACATACAAATAAGTAAAAAGATTATTAAAAATGGAAAATGATAATATGTAATACTAGGATCACATCTGTTAAAACCTAATTGATTTTCATGCTCTGACACAAAAACATCTAGATGGACAGCTCCGCTAACTTGTTGCAGCAAACACAATATGGCCATTTTGTTCTTGTCTAATGTCATACTGCTACTGCATGAGATTGAATGTATTTACTCCCAACAAATACTTCCATGCAAGCATATACTAAATACAGCAGGCTTTATGTCCGAGGATCATGTACAGAGCTGCATTGTTAGAATCCTATTCTGACACCTTTAACATCAACAAAACCTTTGTTTAAAAAATGGTATTATTGACCCTAAAAGGAACATATAAGCATGACTGATAAACAATAAAAACATGAGATTTAAAGTGTTATGCAAAATATTCCCCTTTAAAAATAATTCATAAATAATTCTGTAAAGTATAACATCTTCTTAAAATATATGCAAATATATTTTGACTTGCATAGAGGAACTTAAGCTGTTTATCTTCAAGCTGAGATCAATTGTGTTTTTTTAAGAGGTCCAGACAAACACAATCTAGCCCAAGAGGACACAGTTTATACGTTTGGTGCTTATTTGGTGTTTATGAATTTGCTTTACAAATTTTATTTTTCTATATATTGAATGTATTCTTAAAATAATTTCAAGCTAATGCATAATTTACTTCCTAGACCAAATACGTAAAATTGTCTGGTTCTTAATATGACAGATAACTTCCCTCCCCCCCCAAAATTAATCATGTTAAATATTCAAGCTATGTAAGCAAAGTTCATGCTAGAACGAAGACAGTTTTTACTTGCGTGTGAGAATACACGCAGACCTAAAATGTGACTTCCCACGCTTTGTCTCATCTTTTTAACCTGCGATTATTGCTGAATTCCAGCATTTACTGAATATTCCTTTCCCTGCTGAAGAAAAGCATGGCATCTGCAAGTCAAGGTTTTGGATGCCATGAAACATTCCTCAAGTGTACCAAACCTGGAAACAACAACTTCCTAGTGCACATACTGCTTGGCCAAACATGCACATGTGCAACAATGAACATGTGATCATCCTGAGGCAGGCTGGACTCCTCTTTCTGCCTCCCTCCTGTGTCAGTCCTTTGCAGGAAGGAGATGAGTTGCAAGTGGCCCCAAGCCCCAGCAGGCCAGAAGCAGCCCCCCCACCCCTTACCCTACATTACTGCTGCCCTTCCACCTTGGCAAGCCAGCCTCAGGTGGCCATGCCCTTTGGCCTCGCTGCAGCCCAATGGGGGTAATGCCACAGGCAGGGGTTCCTTCCAGCCCCTGAGGTGGACACACTCCCGGTTTCTTCGCACTGCCACGGCCAGGCCCCCCCCCCCCGGCGGGCCGGATAGGAATTCCCCCCCCCTGTTTCGCCCCCCGCAGAAAAAGGGGAGGGGGATGGGGGGGGGGGGGGGGGCGCCTTACCAGTCCGTCTGAGGCTCATCTATGACCAGGAGCAGCTTGAACTTTTTGGCTGCCGCTGAGGAAGACGAGGAGGCATCCACCAAGCCCGCCGAGGCTGCCGTTTGCTTCACGGCATTGGAAAGGGAGCTGAAGAAGCTGCTGCCCACCGACTGTTGCTGCTGCTGCTGCTGTGGCGGTGGCGGCTGCTGAGACGGCTGAGGCGAAGGCGCTGCCGGCTGCGACTGCTTGCGCTCCGAGGCCGGGGAAGAGGACGAAGGAGCTGCCGAAGAGGCAGGCGGAACCGCCGGAGGGGGAGGCTGTTGGGGCTCCGGCCGCTGCAAGTCGGTCATGTACCCATTGGGCAGGTTGGCGATAAAGCTGCTGTCCGAGAGCCTGCGCCGCAGAAAGTTCATCATTTGGCCGCCGAGCCGAGAGAGAAGTGGCCGCCGACGAGAGGTGAAAGGAGCAGAAAGGAAGGCTGGCTGGCGGCTTTTCTGCTTTGCCCACCGCCTCGCTGGGTGCCGGAGAAGGAGGGAGCAGGAGCGCTGCCGCTGTTACGTGCGGGAGCCGCCGCGGCTGCTGCTAATGCCGCCGCTTCCCCGCTTGTCCCGCCCTCCCGTCTCTAGGTGGCAGCCGCCCAAGCCGTTGCCGCCTTGCCTTGCCTCGCCTTGCTCTGCTCTGAAGGCGGGAGGGCGGAGGGAAGGGACGCCAAACCGCGCCCTTATCGCCCGCCCCGAAATCAACGGGGGTCCTCTTGAGAAGCCCGCGTTCAGCCGCCGACTCCCGTCTCTCGGCGGGAAAGCTCCCGCGCTTTCGGCATCCTCCCCGCGCGCAAAACTCCTCGCAAAAAACAAAAACAACAACAGCCCTGGTCCTCTTTTTTTCGCCCTGCGCGTTTAGTTGAGAGATGCCACGGGCGTCGAGGTGTCCGTGGGCTAAGGGTCAACCGTGCCCCGCAAAACTCCTGGCTCCGACCATTTTGAAAGGCGAGGCTCCGCTTCACCCGTGCAAAAAGAGGGTAGCTGTCATGGGAACGCGAGATCGTCATGGTACCTGTGGCCCCGGCAGCGTCACGCAAAAGGCAGCTTCACACAAGTCCTCAGAGATCCAAGTTTTTTTTCTTTCAGGTCTGAAGGGCAGCATACGAAGGATTAGCCTGAACTTGTTTTAAGCCTATCATCTGGAAGTGGCCTGCACACTATAAAAACAACAGCCACAAAATGTTTAATAGCCAAATCAGTGTCTGGAAATCTCAGCATGAAAGATATTTTAAACAGAAGACAAACATTTACACTGTAGGTATCACGGTATGCCCTTAAGGGCAAAGTCATATTAGGAAGCTGTCATGGAGAAGGTCCTTCTTAGTCCCTACTAGCTATATCCTGGCCACCCTGATGGAAGGAGCGGTTCCTCTTTCCAAATTTTAATTTTTATATGACATAATTTCTCAGACTATACCCTAAAGCTTCAAACTGAACGTTTGGTATGGAGATCAAAAACATTTCTGAATAACAAAGAGAGAAAATCTTAAATTCAGGTAGGAGGGAACGTTCTCACTTCAATCAGCACATTACAGCTTCTAGCAGATATAATCAAGAGGCTGCAAATAAAAACGAAAAGAGTGCTTATTCACCGAATCTCTCCTCTACACCTGCACAACACAGTATCTCTGATATTAATCCTTGTCTATTGCTTATTTCCAGCACTCACAATTACCAGTAAAAGGTCACTGAAGGTGTCAGAAATAATAAACCCTCATCTTGAGCTGCTGAAGACCATCAATAACAGCCACCACAACAAAAGCACCTTTTCTGGGTTGGTAGATAAAATAGCCAGACTTTATCATGTCATTTTGACATGATATATGTATTCTTAAGGTAGGCACAAATGAGAGCAGAATATGGGGAATAGGCTAAGCACAGTTAAAAATAATTGATCCTTAGGTAAAGAGCCACAAACCGTGACAACCTCCAGTTCCAGTTGTGCAGATGAGCCAAATGATGATTACACAAAAATAATTACATATTTGAACAAACCTTTACTTGCTAAAAGTCTGCATTGTAAATGTGAAGAAAATGCCATTCAAATAACTGAAGCTCCTTAAATACAACATAAACTTCCTGTTCACTATAAGATATTCTCCAGGACCAGCACAATATATTACGTTTTGCAATATATTTATGTCTAATTTGGGGAGGGCATTTAATGCAAAAGTATCAGCCTTTTGAATAAGAAACTTAGCTCTGCTAGATTCAGATTCACTTATCTCTTAAAAATGAAATGCCAAGAGCTTTTAGAACATCTCCTGTTAAAAAAAGAATATAAAGGACAGTTCAATGCATTGTGCTTCTTTTTGGTATTTTTCTATTTACCTGTTATTAAATTCTTGGCTTAGCCTTCCAGAATTCCATTATCACCTGAATACATTTCTGGTTGAAATTGAACTTGGCAAAAGAAGAACTCAATGGGTCAAGACTAAAGTTGGAATATATAATTTGCAACCAAGCGTCATGGGGGATAGGGGAGCAGGGGGGAATATTTATGTGTGGTAAATTTACTTGTCACTTTGACCCAGCTAGTCAAGCATTTTGCTGCTACAATAATATGACCATGATAAACAAATCTGTTTAAAAAAAGACACTGAGTTTTTAAGCGCTGTTTTATACAATACAGTGTTTTCAAATGTTCTTGTCCTTATTATCTTATTTCTCTTTCTGTGAAGAGGATAGCTGCAGGAAAATTGATTTCACATCTGGAATTTCTTTGAGATCTACAGCATTACCAAATATTACCAGAGTTTATTTTGCTTAGTACTGCACCTGTGTTTTTATATGCTTATATTAATTTTTGTATGGTATGGTTATAAGCTTATTTATAACCATACTATTGTAAATCACCTTCATAGCCGTAATCTGAAGTTTAGAAATACTATTAATTAAGATAAATATAAATAGCAGTACAATTTTAAATACCATTTTATAATGTTCATAGCTTAAACATTCTTCATAAGTCCCATGCAGTTTACTGGCCTTTTGCTGTGAATGCTAAACATTGTCAGTATGCTTCTCCTAGAGAGGTATGTTAGTCATCAAAATCAGTTGATCTTGGTCATGATGCAGTAGTTGCCAATTCTATAAACATCTAGCTCTGCATGTGATTAAAACAACTAAAGGAGGAATTTTTAAGTAGGCACCATATGCTAAATGTGTTTGTAAATCCATCCAGACAGCCGGTTGGGATCAAGCAATCTCAGGTTTCGTATGATGATCTATATTTGCTGCAATTTAACCCAAGTTGATAACTTATTAACACCAAAGCCAATGAATAAATCTGAATCTGTGGGTGGAGAATGTATTCCAAGCTGGTTTAATTGCTGCAGCCTTTTACAGTGCAAGCCTTCTTTAAACATCCCCATGACTAAACTATCCTGAGCTGAATGCTATCATCCTAGAATAATTTGATTAACTGAATCATGCAGCCAAGTGAAATGGAGAGTTTTACTATGCACCACAGTCATTAATATTGTACAGGTAAAAGCATGGTCTAAAATAGTCATCCATATTCTCATGTTTGATTCTTTAAATAAATCTTGGTGCATCAGTTCTCCTGGAGCATTCTCCTGTTTTCTTCAATAGAAGAGATCAGAGAAGAAAAATGGAGTGGAATCAAAGACTGAAGATGACTAAGGGAATCCATTTCCTCAGGCCTGACAGTATATTTACACAAAGAAGGCTTGCAATGGGAACTTTGTGTATAAACTGAATGCCACAAAATATTTTCAATCAAAAATTAAGCTCTTCTCACCTCTCTACCATTCCATCACTATTGTTACAATTGCTACTAATGTTAGTTCACTTTTTTTTAATTAAAGGATAAACAGAAATAAATATTTTATTTATTTTATCAATTGGGATGTGAGGTAGGAGAAAATGGAAAATAATGATAGGCTCAAGTAAGCTACATAGTTGAATGATTACTTAATTGTAACATTATAGTTTAATTACTAGACTACAACAGCTGCCAGTATTCATTAGGTACTTGGTTCTGACAGTATTTAGAACTTTATTTCTTATTCCACATTCCACATTGTAATTAAAAAGAAAAACTCTCATATTAAGTTATTATTTTATCTTTGGAAGGTATTTTCAGTTTGGACTGTTGTTACTGCCATCCTGAAATATTTGTTTTGAAACCACCTATTTCAAAAAGTAAGGATTAAATGTTTAGCTGGATCATAATAATTTACAAACAGAAAAACACTAATATATTTAAGAATGTATTATTTTGCACTAGTTTTTTTTGCACAGTAATTACAATAGTATTTTGTTTCCTATTCATTCTGTTTTAATAGAGTAACATATAATCATTTTCTGGATGGCTAAATAAATTCATACTTTATTATAACATTATGCTGTCCATGGTGCTGCACTGTAGAAAATTGACAAGTCTATTGTAGCACAACATTATCCATATAATGAGAAGACTAGAATAGAATTGGTTGTCCATATAGCTTTGTCTCCCCAAAAGAATGGGAAAAAAGGATTTTAAATACAGGTAAATTCTATAATTTTTGAAAAGTTAATATATATCACTTATCTCAATGAATATATTTTTATACTTACTAAAATTTATTTATTTATTTATTTATTTATTTATTTATTTATTATTATTTATTAATTCAACTTATATACCGCCCTTCTCCCCAGGGGGACTCAGGGTGGTGGACAGCCAAACTTAAAACACGTATAGTACAAAAGTTAAGAAAAAACTAAAATAAATTAAATCATCGGCATTTCCAATTTAAAATCCCAGATCTGCAAAATCGAAAAGTTCCCAATTTAAAACCCAGTTTCCAGTTTGGAAATTAACATTTTGCTAATGGGAGAATAACATAACATATCTACAGACCAAAGTGCTACGGAAAATGTACAATATACATAAAATATCCTAATTTTTGTTTGTGAAAACAATTCCCTTTAGTTCCAAAGGTGAAGGTTGACCTTGGATCTCTTTGTATGTAGAGAAATGCATACATACATTCCTTGTAGAAAGAATATAGGAACAGTTTAGGCAAAATAAGAGATACTTCTGTCCTAGGAAAGAAGTTTGAGAAAGAAATTCAAAATTACCCTGAATCGAGTCTGTTTGGTATAAGAAAGAAGGAAATTCTGTCAGGCTTTTAAGATTCTGTTATATGCCCTAAATCAGTAAAATAGCATTCCTGTAAAGGACAGAAATCTAGAGAAAGAAGAGAATTAGTTATAAGAATTATAAGTCATTCTTGAATATTATGGGAAGGGCAATGGAGCGTGCATTGGAGGGACAATTCTTGCTATGTGTCAACACAATAAGGGGAAACCTATATAAATTGAGACATCAAAAAGAGATTTAAAAGAAATCAAGAAAGCTACTCTTTGTAGTGCCTGGAGGTTACTGAAAACAATAATTGAGATTCATCTAGAATATATTTCACAATGTGAGAAAAGATCAAACAAATTCAGAAATAAGTGAGCATGGTTTTCTGGCAGTGTCTAGGAAGCCATAAAAGTTAAGGAGGAAATGGAATGCCTCTCCTAATGAGCAAGAGAAAAAGCGCAAGCTGTAAAAAAAGTAAGGAACACAGAAGAATCTGTAGTGCAAATGGAAAATGTGAGAGCTGAGGTGGCAGCTGGAGTTTCTCAGAGTTGGCAGTGCTGAAACATACAACAGCTGCTCATTTTCAAGGCCATCAAGCTCCATAACAAGAATCCAGGAATTCATGGGAAGGTCTAGAGAAAACACCAACCAATGGGTATAGAAGTCATTGACACTTTCATGGACAGTGGAGAATTAACTACTATGTTTGGCTTTATTCTTGCGTGAAATAAATATTCTCTGGTTGAGCCAATCTGTGAGACTTCTGACAGACCTAATCAAGTTAAGTGCTCAGAAGATCTGCCATCCACTGCCAAGGATTCTGATAACTAAAACATGAAAGGGAA